ATTTTGCTTCCTAAATAAATTTGATCTTGAGGCCCCAGTTTTGCATTAGTAGCTCCATTTTGGGGGTTCTGTACTTTGGAATCTCTAATAATATGTTTAGTAAGAATGCATGTTACGAATGCTGGATGATTCGCCACTATCCAGCCAGAAATGTGCTTTCTTTACGCAGTTAGGAATGGCAGACGGTGGAGTCAGGAGCCCGTAGGAATCTGGAGACTCCTTGTACCCTGTCTTTGGATAAACAGACACATTTGCACTCCTAAATCACACTTCCTCGGCAGTTGTACACACACAGGACATTTCATGTGTGATCTCATTGGTTTCCGGGGTCGTCTCACCCCAAGTCCCAGTGCTGGTTTGGTTTTCTGTTATTCTTACCACGTGGAAAGACTCACACCGTGGGTGAGAGCTGGTGGCAGAGCCAGCACAGGGACCAGTCTAGACTGAGCTTGTACCTAGCTGGGTTGTGGATGCTGGATCCAGCCCAGGACCTTGTTCATGTTACGGAAGCATTCTGCCAAGTGAACTGCATTTCCAGACCAGGAATGTCTGCAGACTAGCTTCTTAGGCTGTCGGTGCTACCAAGGCCGAGAAGTGCCGATTTGTTTGTTAGCCCTAGACCAGGCTGGCCTTGAACTCACAGAACTCTCCCTACCTCTGCCTCTCAAGTGTTGGAATTGAAGGCGTGCGCCACCACCACCTGAAATATTGATTTTTAGAATTAAATTCTTTTGTCCGCCAAGGCTGTTAGGGGAATTACCAGTTGATCTCCCTAAGCATTTTCTCTTCTCTATATTCCTCAGGATGTATATTCCTTAGTGAAAGAAGCAAATTCACTCCAGGTTTTTCTTTTTCCTGGGCCAGCCTTGAACTCTCTGTAGAGTCGAGAATGACTTCTTAACTGATTTTGTTGTCTCCTCTAAAAGCTTGGGGTTAACTTTGTGCATTCTAGGCATGCACTCTCAACTGAGTCCCATTCCCAGCCCTAATTCTATGTAGATCACTCAGTCTTGACTCTCAGCAGCAAAAGCCAGGCTGCAGACGTATCCTTAATTGGAAGAGATGGCCCAGCAGTTAAAGAGCTTGCTTAGTAAGCCTGAGGACACGGTTTGGGTCCCCAAAACCCACTGTAAAGGCAGGGTATGTAGCAAGACTTACAATTCCAAGAAAACGGAGGTGGGGTTCTTAAAGCCATATGGCATAAGCTGCCCTCAAACTCACAATCCTCCATTTGCCTGCCTGTATGTGTGTGTACCATGTGTTTGTCTGGTGCTGGCTAAGGCCACAAGAAGGCCTCCAATTCCCAGGAATTGGAGGTTAGACTGCTGTAAGCTGCCATGTGGGTACTGGGAACCAAGTCCTGGTCTTCTGCACGAGCAGTCTATGCCCCTGACCACAGAGCAACCTCTCCAGCCCCTTAGTGACTGGTGACCATCATTTGCGAGGTAGAGAGGTAGCTAAGGTAGCTATATCCTAACTTTTTGTAAACTTAAAATTTCTTCAGAGAAAAGTTTTTTCAGGGGTTCCGTGTGTAGTTGTCATGTTTGAGGCCTTGGGTTGAGTACCTTGCACCAATATCTCCTCCCTCCCCCCAAATAAAACAAAACCTACAACACTTCTTAAAGATCCTGGAAGCTTCGTTTATATGGAGTTATAGGCATATTGAAATTAAGTGTACCTAGTGATTTGTTCAATGCGACAATAAATTGCTACCTGTTAACATAAATGGCTTTTTATTTTTTGGTTTTTCGGGGCAGGGTTTCTCTGTGTAGCCCTGGCTGTCCTGACACTCACTCTGTAGGCCAGGCTGGCCTCTGTTGTTGATAGATTTTCTTTTATTCTCGCCCTATAAAGCACAGCGTCCGCTCTACGGTACTACGCCTGTAGCGCCCTAGGCCTATAGCGCCCGTGCCACTACAGGTCGGAACGGGAGCCGGGAACTATGCTGGAGACTTAAAAACACACGCGCAGAGACAGGCAGAGAGAGACATGGACACGGGTCATCCTTGATAGAAGAGTGCCAACGTTGTTGTGCTCCAGGGAAGCTTATATAGGGATTCTTAACTGATAGCCACGCCCAACTCTCGGGATCTTTCAGCTGCAGGCCTCACGTGGACCCCCCCCCCATCAGGGTCTCGTGCTCAGAGCAGCTGCGGGCACAGGTGTTTTGCTCCGTTCAGTCCAGCAGGCGAAGGGTCTGAGGCAGGCAAGGAAAGTCAAGGGGCCAGGGGTCTTTATCCCCCAACATCGCCCCACATTAGAACGCTAAAATGTTGTTGTTTGTTTTACTCTTTTGGCTTTTTTGGTCCTGCCACCCAGCTCCCAAATAAATCACACACGGAGGCTTATTCTTACCTATAAATGCCCAGCGTTAGCTTGGCTTGTTTCTAGTCAGCTTTTCTTAAATTATCCCCCTATCTTTTGCCTCTGGGCTTTTATCTTTATCTCATACCTTTTTTAAGTCTTACTCCATGTCTTGCCTTGTATCTGGGTGGCTGGTCCCTGGAGTCTTCCTTCTCTCGTCCCTTCTTCCTTTCCTCCCAGATTTCTCCTTCTGTTTACTTTCTCTACCTGCCAGCCCTGTCTGTCTTTTCTCCTGCCTGGTTATTGGCCATTCAGTTCTTTATTAGACCATCAGGTGCTTCAGAGGCAAAGAATCAAAGCTTCACAGAGTTAAACAAATGCAACATAAAAGACGGCAGCACATCTTTGCATCATTAAAATGAATGTCCCACAGCATAAACAAATATAACGCATCTTAAAATAATATTCTGCAACAGGCCTCGAACTCAGAGATCCTCCTGCCTCCTGAGTGTTGGGATTAAAGGTATGCGCCACCACCGCCTGGCCTGGCTTCTTTGGCTAGAAAATGTTTTTCCAAATTAAAAAAGTTTAGGATATCAGCATAGCTTCATATTTTGCAAGTTTCTGTCTATGCGTGTAGATGAATACAAGAGTTCTGGACTCTCCGGTTGCTTCTGCATTTAGCCTGCTGTAGTACAGACGTCATGCAGCCTCTGGGAAATGCCACCATATGCCGAGGCTGGAGAGGGTAAAGGCAGCAGTCAGCCTCTGGCCTTGGCTCTTCCCCAGTCAGAGTCTGCACGTTGTGGGGCTAACATTTGTGCTCTGACATGTGTGTGGGCAGAGTCCAGGGCTAAAGCCAAGCTGGTAGCAAGGCTGCCTTCTCCTCTTCTGGCTCAGGGAAGAATATATCCCTGCCCTTTTAGCTTCTGGAAGCTTCTGGTCTTCTATCCCACCCCTCCTCCACCTTTTGAGTTTGTGAGACAGGGTTTCTTTTTGTAGCCCTGGCTACAAGTCCTAGAAGTCTCTCTGTAGACCAGGATGACCTCGAACTCAGAGATCCGCCTGCCTCTGCCTCCTGAGTGCTGGGATCAAAGGTGTGAACCACCACCGCTGCCCAGGAATTCTGGTGTTCTTTGTAGTCCTTCTCATTTTGAAAATCGGTGAAGGCTGCCTCCAGCCAGGCTTCCATTTCCTCATACATGAAGTCTGTAATTACAGTAGGGCCCACCTGGGCAGCCAAGGATGCTCTTTGAAGTGCAGCCCTGCCTTCTCTCCTCTTTGAGTCACAGGGATTGCGGGGACGACTTAATTAGCCGTTGTTTTTCTGCTACAATTTAGTGTTATGAGAAGTTTTCGAGGCAGGGCAGAAAGATGAAAACCCTTGGGCACGGAAAGTCCCTCAACTCAGGCGTTTGATGCCTTTTCCTAGCAGCGAAGCAATATAGTTCCAGCACCTTTCACCTTGTCTCCAAACCTGCAGCTCTCTAGAGAACTTGCCAGGAATGGCATTGGCAGTAAAAACACCTCCCGAACCCTTTGCACAGTTGCACTGGCCCCTCACTTTTCCTCCTCAGCTTCCGAGTCCACCCCAGGCTTCTCCAGAGCCACTTTAGTGCCAAAGATAAGGTTCCTCATATCAGCTGGGATATTTTCAAGCATACCATACCTGTTTGGCGGGTTTTCTCGCAATGACTCTGGCTTTTTTTTTTTCATGACTGTCTGACTGCCTTAAAGGGCCAGGCTACCCACCGTGCAATCGACTGGACAGGAAGGGGGTGTTGCACATAGTGAGCATAAACTGTTGGTGCACTAAGGCTCCCAGAAAATGTTGCCGAATGTTGCAAAGACTTCTGTACTTCTACAGGCTCCTTCCATGAGTGTGTAGGCTCCTTCTGTGACTCTGCTTAGCACATGGCGCTGGCCCCTCTTGGATCTGTGAGAGCTGAGCCTTAGGTCCATGGGCACCACCCAGGAGCTACGATTATCTGCCCCAGCTCTGGCAAGTTGCCGGGCTGAGCTGTGGCACCAGCAGAAGCAGTGGCACTGGCTGGTATGACCTCTCTGTCTATTGGAGCACCGAATGTATCCGACCTAGCTCCCAAATAATGTCAGAGGCTTCTTATTAATTATGAATGCTTGGCCTTAGCTTAGGCTTGTTCCCACCCAGCTCTTAAAACTTAAATTAACCCATTTATATTAATCTACGTTCTGCCACATGGCTTGTTTCCTCTCTTCCATACTGTACATCTGACCTGCTCTGCATCCGAGCACCTCATATTCTTCCCAGAGTTCCTTTCTCTCCCTAGAGGTCCTGCCTACCTCTCCTGCCTAGCTATTGGCCACTTAGCTCTTTATTAAACCAATCAGAAGGTGCCCGGACAGAGATATATCTTCACAGTGTACAAAAAGATCATCCCACAACAGAGTAGGAAAAAGAACGGATAGAAGTTTATAAAGAACCTACTGTGTTGGCATTTGTGCACACTTAGTGGTTTGCTAACCTTACTCCGGCCCTGCTCCTTAATCTTGGTTGCTCTTGGTTTTCCTGTAGATTGGCAATTTCCCTCTTGGAACACCCATGTTCACGCAGACTGTGATGGCGAGGTTCCTTGGTGTGTTACCTAGGAAAGGTACTACCGTTCAGTCCTTTTCTGTCTTCCCTGTACCCTAGCAACAAGCCTGCCATGCATTTTCATCTTTGGGTATCTTTGGCTCTGTTTTCTTCTAAGAAGCTCTGCCCCTTGAAGCTAAGTATCTTTGCTCTTGAACAGTTAAGTTTAGTTTTTATTAAATGACTTACCTTAAGATTAAGTTGTCATCAAATCATTATATTTAATCTTATTTCATTGCAGTTATATGTGGGTTTGTTTCTGGAACTTGAGGAAGTGTGATGGATTTCTATGGAGCAGTGGGAATTACAGATATTACAGAGTAATAAGGAACAATTTTAACTTTTAGTGGGAGTAGTATAAATGTCATGAGCATTAGCAGTTTTTTAGATGAGTAATTCTGTTTGTCATGGATTGCGTGTCCCTGGAGATGATGCAAAATCCTGGTGGAAAAGGAAAATTTTCTCTGTAGATTAATAGAATATTAGTAACGTCTGCATTGTCCCCCCTTCTGCCCTCCCCAAGAGCCAGCCCTTTGTGTCCCTCCTTTGTCAGTGTGGTGTGTGCTGATTTCCTCCACCGACAACCCATGCTTTATAGATAACAACTCTTGCCTCATTCCTTGTCTAGTGCTGACACACAGGAGCTCTGTAGGTGCAAAAAACCCTGTAAGGTTCGCAAGTAGGAAAACCAGGTTATAAAAAAAACACTGCTTATTGGATGACCTCATTTGCAGAAGGCTCCAGAGATGAGTGTAGAAATCTGACTTCAAAATTCAGCAGGGGCAGAGGGAGGGAGAGCTGAGGCCTCTGGGGTTGAGGGGCTGCTCCTTATCTCTTTGGACTTCCATGCTGGATAGGCATGCCGATCGCACATGGTTTCACCTCAGTAAAGCTATGAAGTGAAAGCAGAGATCTAGAAAGACTTCTGGCCTGGTTTGCTCATTCTGAGGCAAGTGCCCATGCCAAGAGGTGGGTGGGACCGTGAGTCAGGTGTCTTGCCTTCGATCAGCAACTGCAGCTGCTGGGGCTGCGGCCGTGGCCTGGAAGGAGCTGGAATTTGTGTGCATGACCCTGTTTCTTATAAGGGCTGAGATGCACTAGCAGGGTTAGTGAAAGAAACAGCCCACCCTCTACAGTATGCTTGTTGGGTGATTTTTGTCTAGTTGTAATCTAACCTAAGTCTGGTAGTTTGAATGTAATTGCCCCCTCCCCCTCCCATCACAAAGGGAGTGGCACTATTAGGAGGGTAGCCTTGTTGAGGTAGGTGTGGCCTTGTTGAAGTAGGTGTGGCCTTGTTGGAAGAAGTGTGTCACTGCTGGAGGTGGGCTTTGAGGTCTTTTTGCCCCAGCTTTGCTCAGTGTGACACAGAGACCACTTCCTGTTGCCTCTTGATCAAATGTAGCCAGCACCATGTCTGCCTGCACACTGCCATGCTCCCTGCCATGATGATAATGGACTGAACCTCTCAACCTCTGAAACTGTCAGTGAGTTACCCCAATTAAATGTTGCCATGGTCATGGTGTCTCTTCACAGCAATAGAAATTCTAACTAAGACACTGAGTGTTCTCAGGCTACAAGAGATGTAGGCCAGGCTGAGCATTTAATAGGTTAAATGTGTTAAATGCTCCTGGCCCTCTAGGAGGGCCAGTCCTGGGGGTTGATCCCAAACCTTGTTATAAACCTTATAAGTGGTTTGAAGATACCCTACCAGTGCCGGGCGGTGGTGGCGCACACCTTTAATCCCAGCACTCGGGAGGCAGAGGCAAGCGGATCTCTGTGAGTTCGAGACCAGCGTGGTCTACAGAGCTAGTTCCAGGACAGGCTTCAAAGCCACAGAGAAACCCTGTCTCGAAAAAAAACAAAACAAAACAAAATAAAAAAAAAAAACAAAGATACCCTACCAGTGAGCCACTCTTCTGACTGGCCAAATGCATTCAACTATGATACTTTTAACTTATCTTGGGCTATAGGTGTTCTCCTTTTATAAGCCAAGGAACATCTATCATAAATCTTTGGTTGATTTATGAATATAGAAACATATTGTGGGCCAGACTTGGTGACTCATGCCTTTAATCCCAGCACTCTGTGTGAGGCCAGCCTGGTATGTACTAGTGAGGTCCAGTTCAGTCAGGGATACATGGAAAGACATTGTTTCAAACAATTAAAACCCAAAATAAAAAATAAAATCTTTGAAATAATTGTGCATTAATTCCTTAAAAATACTATGACCAAGGCAACTTACAGGAAGAAGAGTTTATTTTGACTTAGAGGGATAAGAATGCATCTTAAAGGGGAGGCATGGCCGAGGCAACAGGAACAAGAAGCCAAGAGATCGCATCTCAACCACAAGCACAAAGCAGAAAAAGAGACTGGAGGCCTTGAATATCAAAGCCCACCTCAGTGACTAACTTTCTCCAGCAAGTCCACCATCCTAAACCTCTTCAACTAGCGCCACTGACGGGGGTGGGGGGAGATGAAGTATGCAAATATGCCAGCCTATGGGGGGCACTCCATTCAAGCCCTGGCACACTGCCTACCACAGAATATGATGGGCCCTGAACTGCTGATCTTACACCACCCCTGTGTCTCTCCTCTGTAGATGGGCATAGTAGCTAGAGCCCTGAAGTAAGTGCGGTCCATGGCCTTGACTTTACACAGTGGCTCCCACAGAGTGTTGAGCGCGTGTGACTACTGTCCACTAGGAGAACTTGGTCCTTTGGGCACTGTGGCAGTCCACAGAGAGCCAGGTGGTATATTGGCAAAGTAAGAGACTCCGTCTGCTTTTTGTAACTGGTAAAATTCACTAGGAGAAACGGTTCTGCTTCTTCTGCAAGGCTTTTTGAGTTTATATATTCTTTTCCTGTCCCTCCTCCCCAGAAAGATCTTAAATCTGGCATATGACCAAAATAATAATAATAACAAAAAAGCATAGCTGAATAACTTTGTTTTATGTGTGGTGCTAAGGTCAAACCTCGATGCCAGGTAAACAGTGAGACAATGAGTTATCATCTTGGCCCTTTAACATTTGAGACAGGCTCTTTCTCCGGAATTCTCCATCCAGTGCTGGAATTACAAACATGCAATACCATGCCTGGCATAACTAAATAATTTGTATAAATTTATTCATAAATAAAGTGAAATAACATTCCATCAAGAAAATGTCATCGCCATGTTCTGGGATTGTGGCTCCTGCTCATTTGAACTTGAGAGTTGTCCACTGGGCTCCAGCCCCCGTTTGGTCATGTCTTACTAACAACGTGCTTTGGGCTCCTGAGCTCAGTGTCTGAGATGAGCCTATCTCCCCAATTTGTGCCTTATTGGAATCACTGCAACAATATCTTCACATGTGCATCTTTATCCACATCTCTGAGGATTTCCCTAGCAGAGATTTCCTGGAAAGCGAGAGTGTGGGTCAAAGGGTACGGCGTTCTTGGTGCTGATGGCTGGCTTTCTGCCAGAGTTCGCCAGGCACCGATTTCTGTGCTGAAACTGCCTGGAGCCAGTCCCTAGTCCCCAGCACCAACACCAGCACCGTGTCTGCCTCCTTTGTTACCGAAAGCAGAGTACTTCCAGACAGCACTAGGAACAAGAGCATCCTAGACCAGTGGCCCTCAACCTTCCTAATGCTGCAGCCTCATGTTGTGGTGACCCCAACCATAGAATTACTTCCGTTGTTATTTCATAACTGTACTTTTGCTACTGTTATGAATCATAATTAAATATCTGATATGTAGGATATCTGAAATGTGACCCCTGGGAAATGGTTATTTGACTTCCCAAAGGGGTTGCAGCCCACAGATTGAGAATCACTGCCCTAGATGAGAGGAAAGTGATGTCTTATTTTTATTATTTTTTTTTTGCTAAGGACTACCTGCTTACCGTTGAAAAACATGTATGTGAGCCAACACGGTAGACCATGTGCGTCTGCCCGTCAGAGAGCGCAGTTGTTAACTGTGCCCAGACGTTTTTATTTACCTTTTTAAAGATGGGGTGGCTGAACACTTGTCGATTAGCTGGTTAATGTCTTTCTGGGGATTTTAAACTTTATTAAGGACATTTCTGTTTGATTTTTTTTTTGTCTAATATGCCCCTAGTTTGTAAATCTGTTGATACTTTGCTTTTCAACACACTCTTTGGATTTTAAAAAATTTGATACTTGGAAAGTTATGTGCTTTTCATAAATTTTATACCTTTTAATACTTAAAATGTTTATTTTTAAACTGTTTCACATGGCGTATGGTTTGCTACATTCTGTGTGAGAACAACTTTCTCAACATTCTCTCCATGTAGCACGCATAGAAAGGCAGACTTTGAGCTGGAGAGATGGCTCAGAGGTTAAGAGCGCTGGCTGCTCTTGCAGAGGATCTGGGTTCAGTTCCCAGCCCAGTCGTCTATAATGAGATCTGGTATGGTGTGCAGGCATACAATATATATATTAAAAAAAAGAAAGGCAGACTTTGACACGGTCTTAACGGTGTGTGGTGGAGTCACAGGCCACAGGCACTCAGCCCGCTGATGTCGGAGGGAAGTTTAAGATTGGAGAGGTGGGGAGACCTTTAATGCAGAGCTAAAGTTTAAGCATTTAAGGCAGTAAGAACTTTGAGTAGCCGGATATCCTTGAAAAGCAATTAAAAACTTCAGCTGACTTAGTTTAAGCAAAAAAAAAAAAAAAAATTTTTTTTTTTTGAGGAGAAGCTGAAGTTACAGGGCTTTCCATGTGCACGAGATTCCTGGCGCCACAAAGATAAAATGAATCAAGAGAAGATGTTTTATGGGCTGTGTCATGAAAATGTCTCAAGGCTGTGGTCCTGGCACTGAAGTAATGTCATTGGGTGCTCCCCCCTGCTTCTTACCTTGACAGCTTCTTGGTAGGGATCCCTTGCTCCTCCAGATTTATGTTTCCTCAGGCCAGACTTGGAAGGAAAAACAAAAACAAAACAAAACAATGGTTCTTCTTCGAAATTACTGAACAGACCCAGAAATGCCCCTGCCTGGCGGGGGAAATACAAGACAGTGGTCAGGGGATGTCCTGTGCCTACTCTGAGCTCCTCACTGTCCTGGGTCGCTCCTGTACGTTCCCCCTGGAGTCCAGAACCAGACAGACCTCACATGCCCTGTGTGCTCAGTGCGTCTGGAGGTCCTGGTCAGCTGTTCTTATGGATGTCTCGTCTAGTGTTCATTCCTCATCGATGCCGAGTCCTTAGGTCAGCCCACTCCCGTGTGGTTACTTGGCCTTCCAACTTCTGTGTCTTGAGGCACTGCTGTCATATCTGCCACAGGCTGCATTGGAGGTGATGGGTACCACTTGTGCCTCCTCAGGAACTGGGGGGCAGAGCTGGCCGGAACCAGGAATGGAAGAGAAAGGGAGGAAATTAGCACTCTGTCCCCACCGCCCCCAGTGCTTGGAAAGAGGGCCTGACTGGACAGGCGCAGGTTGGAGATGGTGAAACCACACTGGCTGAGCACAAAGAGCTGGCGCTTATCCCGGCTGTCACGGGACCCTCATTTGTCAGCTTACCTTCCTAGCACATTCCTGCTTGTTCCCCGGGACACTACCAGGAGGAAGTAACTTGCTTGCTTATTTCTGTCTGTCTGTCTGTCTCTCCCTCTCTCGCTTACTCCCGTTATATGTACTTGAGACATGTTTGACACATGTATGTGTGTGCTTGCCCGAGGAGACCCGAGGTCAGCATGCAGAGATCTTCCTTGATCTCCTTCCACCTTAAATTTTGAGGCAGCATCTCTCCCTGAACCCAGAACATGTTGGTCCAGATAGACTAGCCATGAATTTTCGGGATCCACTTCTCTTTCTGTCTGCGCGCCATGCTGGGGTTTCAAACACCCACACCGTCGCTTCCAGCTTTTTACATGAGTACCAGGGAGTCTGGCTTCCTGCTGGCATGGCAGGTACTTTGACTGACTGGGGCATCTCCCCAGTATTCACTTGGTCAACCTTTACGACTCTCTCGGCACCGCCCAATGGCTGAGTGACAGTCACTGCGCCTTTTAGATACGTGAGGAGATCCCTTGATACAACCCCGGCCATAGTAGATTTCTACTTGACACACGCTCCACATTTACTCTGCGACAGCAATAGCTTTCCCTGACTGGACGCCTTTTATTAATGGAGAGTCATTTAGCATTTGTGCATATAAAGGGGGACAAGCAAGGTTGGCTGAAGTTGACTTCCCCAGCTCAGATCTTTACGGAGTTTAAAACAGTTGCTTGAATAGAGGGACGATAGTGGACTTTCCTAAATTTTGCCTTCATTCATTTTCTTTTCCTGTCAGCAGTAAACATAGAATTTAGTCAAGGAATGCTATTCTGAGGGGGTCTTTAAAAAGCAAGTCAAGCCGGGCCATGGTGGTGCATGTCTCTAATTCCAGCACTCGGGAGGCAAAGGCAGGCAGATCTCTGTGAGTCTGAGGCCAGCCTGGTCTACAAGAGCTAGTTCCAGGACAGGCTCCAAAGCTACAGAGAAACCCTGTCTCGAAAAACAAAAACAAAACAAAACAAAAAAGCAAATCAGAAGAACGGCGAAACTGCTAAGAAAACAGTATGGAAGTTTGTCAGTACACCATGGGACTGGAGATGGCTCAGTGGGGAAGGCATTTGTGCTGCTGAGCCTCGGGGCCTGAGGTAGATTCCGGGGCCACTGGTGGACGAAGGGAACCAACCGCTCTAGTCACTCTCTGACCTACACACCGGTGCTGCTGGGTAAATGTAACAATAAGGAAAAGGAGAGGGGAGGAGATCATGGGCACGTCCCAATGGGTGAAGCCGAGTACATTATGTGAAGGACAGATGCTGAGGACCCAGGCAGACTCTTGGTGACATGGTGGGGTGGTGCTGGGGGTGGGGGTGGGGTGTGACCCAGTGAGTGTGGTGTTTCAGTGTTGCTAGAAAGAGCTCTGGAGCTGGATGGCCGTGATGGGAACCCAGGAGTGAACGTGCTTAAAGCTACCCAACCACAGTTAATAATTAGGATATAAATTTTGTTTGAGTGTATTATTTTACCATAATACAGCAAGAAACCACAAGCCCAAATCAAAACAGAATGCCTGTAACAACAATTACTACTAGTTCTTCTTCTTCTTCTTCTTCTTCTTCTTCTTCTTCTTCTTCTTCTTCTTCTTCTTCTTCTTCTTCTTCTTCTTCTTCTTCTTCTTCTTCTTCTTCTTCTTCTTCTTCTTCTTCTTCTTCTTCTTCTTCTTCTTCTTCTTCTTCTTCTTCTTCTTCTTCCTCTTCCTCTTCCTTCTTCCTTCTTCTTTGATCGGGTTCCGCCACTGTGTAGTTCAGGCTACCTCAGCTCCCAGAGCGTTGGTATTGCCATCAGCTGTTTCCCAGTGCTTTGTGGAAATGATTAGCAGATAGAGAACCAGAAGCCTCCTAGTGTGCTGGGGCCTCTGAATATCCCACATTGTCTGCTGGGGGACACAGCTTCCAGCTCAACTTGGCTCGTTGGAGCTCAGAGCTGCCCGCTGGCTTCAGAGCTGCTTCTCCACTCCCCAGCACCGTGCAGTTGTTCATCTTGCTGTTCTCTTGTGTGTAAAAGGAATTCACTTCCTAAATCCACACCAGCTCCTGTTACTATTTATTTTGTTTGTTTTTTGGTTTAGGTTTTTTTGAGACAAAGTTTCTCTGTGTAGCAGCCCTAGAACTCACCCTATAGACCAACCAGGCTGGCCTCAAACTCCCAGAGATCCGCCTGCCTCTGCCTCAGGAGTACTGGGACTAAAGGCGTGCGCCACCACCATCTGGCTTCTGTTTCTACTTTTGCAGAGTTAGTTCCATGACTAGGAGGGCCATTGTATTCGTGACATCACGTTTTCGGTGACACAGAGAGGATCTGAGATCCCTTTAGGTTTCTGACGCTTTGCCTTGTGCCCATGTTGAAGACAGCATTTGCCACAGCCAGGTGTTGAGTGGCGGCACTTGTGTGGTGTCCAGCCCTGGGGAGCCTTGGGCAGCTCTCTTCCGAGCTGACCTGTGGGGATTTCCCCCTGCACTAGGGCACCATTTCAGGTTGTGAAAAGCGGATGGGCTTCCTTGCCAGGGCTTTTTATAAATACAAGCCTCGATTAAAGCCGGCTGTTGGAGCCTCCCACTCAAAGGTCATTTGTGAAAGGGGAGCTTTCGGTTCCTTCATAAGCAAACCTGCTTTACCTACATCATCTGGATGAGCCTGTCACACTCAGAAAATAGCAGCACCCAGCGCAGGATCTTTGGTATTAGATGCTGCCCTCCTGGCGGGAGTGCGTGTGATCTGTCACCTCCTGTTTTCTTCAAAGGCCACTTTATTTGCTCTCCTCAGACCGGGGCCACATTTGTGAATGAAAGAGCCACCTCTGTCACCCTGAAACCAAAGCAGTTGCCTTGTTGTTTTTGATGAGGGACACTAATGAAAATGTGTTGTTTGTGGGGAAGCCACGTGTGAAATGCAGCGTGAGCAAAATCTGCATCCATCATCACTGGCCTGGAATCCGTGGGGTGTAAAGACTTAGGGGTTACCATCTGGCACTGTTTACAGGTCGTGAGGTGTTTCTAACTTCTGCTGGGTTTCCCAAGGGGTCTAGCTCCCTGGGCTGTAGCTGGGGTTCTGTCCTGTGACTGGAGCCATTGCCTGGTAAGGTGAGCGCCTCTTGACCCCCTGGGTGCCCCCTGGTAGCTACTGTGCTGCTGTTCATAGAAAGAAGAATAGTGGGTGGGCTCCACTTTATTTAGCTATGTCTTTGTTTTTAAAAATATTAACTTTGGGGGGCTGGCAGGAGCAGACACACCCCTGCAGAGTCAGAGATAAATTGTAGGAGTAAGTTCTCTCCTTCTGCCATGTGGGTTCCAGGGATCACACACAAGTCTTCAGGGCTTTGGCAAGGGTTCCTATCTGCTGAGCCACCTGGCCAGTCCTCCTGTTTATTTTAGAAGAACATGCACCGTCACCATTGCAGCCAGATCCCCGTGATCTGGGGGCAGGGAGTTAAAAACCCAGATTCTGGAGCCAGACTTCTCAGGTTAAATGCTTGTTTTATTGTTGGGTGGTTGTGTGCCCTTCAGGAAATTATGGGTGCTCTGTACCTCGATCATAGCCATGTAAAATGGAGATAATGCATATGCATGCCATGGGATAGCTAAAAGGATTAAATGGAGCAAATCTTTAGTAACTAGTGGCTGCTGGCTGTAGCGTAGAGGTGTGTGCTCATGATCCCAGCTGTTTGGGAGGCCCCAGCTGGAGGACCACTTGAGCCTGGGGCTTTGGAACCAGCCTGTGTGATGTAGTGAGTTAACAGCTGTTTTGATAGACTTGTTCTGAGTCATGGAATCCAGACAGGCTGAATTTGGTGTGATCGTGTGGTGGTTCTGCCCTCAGCTCCAGAGAGCCGCTGCCTCCAGCGCTTGTTGCCCTGTGAGCTGGTTCAAGCAGAGTCTGACCCATAAGATGGTAGAAGGTGGAAGAATACAATCGCATATCCTCTTAGCAGTATAGGACTGTTTGTGCTTGCCCCAAGGTTAGTTCTGGAGGCCACTGTCCAGTAACTGCTAGTACTGGCTACCTGGATCAGTGTATGTCCTTTCTGTCTCTTATAACACACTGCGCAGTGTCTGGTCTGCAGTGCCCCTGAAGATCCCTCAGGGAGCCCCGGAGCCCGAGACCTCACTGGTTGGTTGATTTCTCCAGCGCCATCAGACCACAGAGCTATTGCCTGCTGCACCACAGCACAGCGCCTCAGTATATCTGATGACCTTGAGATGCTTGAGACGCAGCAGTCACATTCTCCATTACGCGCTGTGAAAGGCACCAACATGGCCGCAGGATGCCGTCTTCAGACTTCTGTGGTGTCTGAAATGAGGTCATGAGGGTGGAAGCTCCGTGTGGACATGGCTTTTAGCATTGTCGACTGCCGTTCTCCTGCCTTCTGAATCTACTCTTGTTAACAATCCTGGGTGGTGGTGATCCAGGGCTAAAGGTGAATTATGTTCCAGGGGCATAAAAATAGGAAAGTATCCCGACATAATGCAGAAATAAAGTCTCTGACTTTCTCTCCTTCATCTTAAGATTATTTTTTCCCGTGCTGGGGACCAAATGGCCCTGTGCATGCCGAGCAGACACTCTGCCGCTGGTCCACAGCCCCGGCCTCCAGCTTGGACTGTGGTAAGGGTCTGTTTGAACTCGACATTGTAAGGTAGAAAGAACCTTCAAAATCCCTTCAGGGAAGAATAAAAGAGATGTAATAGCAGCCCCTCAGATGGAGGGACCTGTCACAGAAAGACTGCAGAACTGCTTTTGTGTCCAGTGGACCCCGAGTACCGGTATGTGGGGTGATCCCACCTCTGATAAGCCAGCTGAAGAAAGTTACATGCTCGTCACAAAGGTGTTATTATTCATGGGAAAAAATTAAACCAGTCAAGTGTTGGGTCGGTTATGGCATACCCATGTAATGCGTATATCGAGGTTTTATGTAGCAGCATAAGGTCATATTCTCAGAGTCTGCAATACTGTGAGCTGTGGTTGAATATGAACCCCGGAGACTGCCATACAGGCTTGTGTGTGCAGCAAGGTCAGCCTTATAGGATATAGATGGAAAAACACTGGTAGCCAATACATTGAATGCTAGTTTTCTTCTCTCTCTCTGATAGTGAGGTGTATTTAAATTCCATGATGTATACTTATACAATCTGTAACCAGCATATATTAAAAAAAAAAAAGCCAATCTCTTGGGACATTGAAGCACATGCTCTTTCTCAGTGACAGTTTCATTGAGATGAGATGTTGCTACCTCTGAATTCAATGAACACTCCCAGAACCCCCACCCGTGGCTTTTGGCATATTCATAAAAGGCCTTCTGCCATGGCCATTATCACAATCAAATTGAGAATATTTTCACCACTGGAAAGACATTCTGCCCCCAGCAACAGTCGCTTCCTCACCCATGTGACACAGCAACTAAGCTGCCCTCTGTGCCCACGACCTACCTTTCCCTGCTCCTTCTCCCCTTTCTCCCCTTCTCTCCTTCTCTGAAGCGCTCTCCTGATGAGCTGTGTCCCTGGCCTTGGATCTGCCTGTTCTGGACATCGCATGAGTGTGTAAACTGCCCCTTTGGTTTAGAAGCCCTTCGGCTCTTACCTCTGCTGTGAGATGACGGATTCTGTTCTGCTCCTAGAATTGGTTCCTTCCATCATGAACAACTTGCTGAACCCAGATGCCATTTTCTCCAACAACGAGATGAGCCTCTCAGACATCGAGATTTACGGCTTTGATTATGATTACACCCTGGTATTCTACTCCAAGCACCTCCACACGCTCATCTTCAATGCCGCACGGGACCTGCTCATCAATGAACACAGGGTAAGGCCATAGAGACCTTCCTGTCCTTTTTCCCTTTGACCCCTTCGACGTCTGACGAGTAAACAACCCGGTGCGGTCATGCCAGGCCCTGCACTTGTTCAGAAGTCCTGTGGTGAGTGGCTGCAGGGGGAATGGTCAGTTTCTGGTCCATTCTAGTTTCCAAGTGACTCTTACTTCTCTAGAACCTGGCTGTACGTATATGTGCACATGTGTGTGTGGGCATGCATGCATGAGTGCTCGTGAGTGTGTAAATGCATGGATGTGTGCAAGTGTGTGTACAGGTGGGAGTCAGAACAGCCTTGTGTGTCTTCCTCAGGAGTATTGCCCATCTCTCTTAAGACAGGGTCTCTGATTGGCCAGGAGCTTACCAATTAGGCTAGACTGTCAGTCAGCAAGCTCCACCCCTCCAGTTCTGGAATCAGGAGCATGCCCTTTAAACCCCTATACTACCCCAGAAATGTGCCTGTGACCTTGCCCGTCTCCCCAGGGCTTTGCTGTGATTTGGGAGCTCCCCGTGTGCTGAGCGTTCTGTCCTTGGTGGTGGTCACTGTTGAGCTCTTCTGCCCATGCGTTCCCTCCCCCCATCCGTTTCTCCCCCATCCCCCCATGCTTCATCTCTGGCTTTTATGAGCCATGGCCTGCTGGGGATGCAGGAAGGGTAACGGGGGTGTCACAGACATTGTTCCAGAGGGAGTCAGGGACTGGGATGGTCAGTGGTGGAGCCATCTGGTAGACCTCCTGAGGACACCAGAGCAGAGGGTTAAAGAGGCACTGCCAATAGTGGGAGTAGCTTTTTCAGGGAGCTGGGGAAACAGCCAAAGGGGTGTGATTTTGGTCTGGTTGGCCAGTAGAGGTGGCCTGGGGTGCAGTGAGTAACCTGGAAACCGAGGTTGTGAAATCTGCAGTTTGTCCCCTCTCAGATGTGACAAAGTGTGACCAGTGTGGAGAAACCATCCCCCTGGTACTAGATGGGAGGGGCCAAAGTCCTGGCGTTGGGCACAGTCTCTTTGTACTTGTGTTTTTCAGTGGATTTACGCAGTTACGCTGTCCTGATCCATGATGTAGAAAGGGCAAAAATGCCCGAGCGGCAACTTTCTTCTGTTTTTACACTTTTTGTCATCCACATTTCTTCGTCTGTTCTCCTCCAAGGGGAACAGGCCCTGAGTAGCCAGGTAGCTCTGCCCCACCTTCCACCTGCCACTGTCCCTCAGCAGGCACCAGGGGATGGCTCCGCTGCCCAGCTGTGGTGTGCTCCGAGCTCGCTGTTGCCTGGAACATGGGATCCTGTCCTAGCTTTCTGTCGGTACTGTCCCCCACTTCTGGCCGAATGCTGAGAGCTCGTGGTCTCCAGCCGAATGCTTGGTAGCCTTCTCTGTGGTCCAGATCCATCTATCCACTGCATCTCTGGACTTGGCTTCCTGTAGAAAACAGGTTTAAGAACAGCACCTCCCTCGGGGTTTTGCTGTGATCACCAAGTGTGAGCTGGGTTACAGATGTTTGGTGTCTGTAAGACACCCAGCATGAACTAGGGCCAGTGTCATTGTTTCTCTCCACAGCCCCCTGCTTCTGTTCTCTGCCTTAGAGACCACAGGAGCAGGACGCACAAGAGATCTGCGCTCGGGTCCGTCCAGTTGGGAACTTCCTCCCTACCTCTCCATGTTGCCCTTCGGAGCTCTCATGCATTTCTGCCTTGGGGTTTTTGTTGTGGTTAGCCGTTCAGAGAGCTGCTGTTAGCCACTGAAGTGGAACACGGCCAGGCTCCAGGGCAGTAGGGATTGCCCGTGGGTACCCAAGCGCCCATGAGGGATGCCTGAGTCCTCTGCTGCACTGAGGTATTAATGTCACCAGGCTGTCCTGTACAGGGCAACTTTGAACTTTATCAGGATGTTCACGTTCTTCCTGAAGCCATTGTCCTGCGGGGGCTTTTCGACTATTCTGTTACTATGGAAATGCAGTGTCTAGCCAGCTTGTTGAGCTTCTGAGTTGGTAGCTGCTGCTGTAACAGGGGAGTGGTAAGCTTCTAGGACAGGGGCCGTCCTGGTTGGTTTTTATCACTTTGACACAGTTAGAGTTATCAGAGAAGAGGAAACTCGTTAGAGAGAACGCCTCATGAGATTGCCTGTGGGAAAGTCTGTAGGGCATTTTCTTGATCTTTGGTTGATGCTGGAGGGCCCAGCTTATTGATTTGAGTTCTACCTCTGGGCACGTGGTCCTGGGTGCTACAACAAAACAGGCTGAGCAAGCTATGGGGAGCAAGCCAGTAAGCAGCACTCACACGGCCTTTGCTCTGTTTGGGCCTTGAGCTCCTGCCCTGACTTCCCTCAGCAATGGAGCACGGACTGAGAGTTACAAGAACCCTTTCCTCTCCACGTTGCTTTTGGTCATGGTGTTTTATGTAGCAAGAGAAACCCCAACTAAGACAGGGTGCTGGGCTGATTCAGAATAGATTAAGTCAGTTAGGGTGGACCTAGAGGTGACACAGATCCAGGTCCCAGTGCTGACTCAGCCACTGTGCTGCTTCCTGACCCTGAGTACATCTTCCTGACCCCGCCCCAGGCTGGCGGAGGCTCAGAGGCTCTGCAGTTTTGGCCTTCAGTCACTGAGCAGAGCCATGTCCCTGTGGCTGCGTTAGTGTGGGCTTTGGTGAGTATCTCAATAAATACGCAGAACTGTACATGGTGTTCAGAAGTCTGAGAACACCCACGAGGAGAAATATCAGGTTGGGGATTTCTTGGCAGGCACACAGGTGTAAGATAAATGAGCTCAAATGTGACATTCAAGTCACTGCTGGTGCAGGCTGACTTGAAACTTGCCATGCGCCTTCATGAAGGCAGGTGGTGCCTGGCGGTTCCAGGAAGCCACAGCCATGTGGCTTGGCAGGCTCCCTGGGGTGATGCCTGTCCTGCTTTTATTTCTGCAAAATGGACGTGGCAGCACCTACAGGCAGAAGCTGGCAGAAGGGTGCTCTCAGGTCTGGGCCGAGGGGAGAAAGTGCCTGGATTCTCATGCAGTGTAGAGGAGGGACTGGCATTTTTGTATAATGCGAGCAAGAGTATGCAGTTAGGGAAGAGCAGAGACCAGGCTGTCTGTCTCCAAAGGCTCCGTGTGTTCTCAGAACAGTACAAGTGGATGGGGCCACAGGCTGAGAAAGTCCCCTGGGACAGTAGCTGTGGGGTTCCCCAGCCAGCACAGTCGGGTGAGAACAGTAACAAGTCAGTCCTATGGAGGCTTCCCCCAAAGACCTCATTTGGATGCCAAGGTCATGGTAACGTGAAGTTGACAGAAATAAGGAAGGGAGGGTTTATTTTGACTTTCAGTTTGAGGGCCCAGTCCATTGTGGCAGAGAAACCTTGAAGCAGGACCGAGAGGACTTATTTAATATTAATTATAAATGCTCGGTCGATAGCTCAGGCTTGTTACTAGCTAACTCTTACACATAAATTAACCCATGCTTTGCACATGGCTTGGTACCTTTTCTCAGTACTGCGTGTCCATCTGTGTCTGCTCGCCACTCCAGACTCTGCCCTCCTTCCTACCAGCGTCCTCCTAGTCTGGCTCTCCTGCCTGACCTTATCCTACCCAACTATTGTCCAGTCAGCTACTTTATTAAACCAATCACAGCGACATATATTCACACAGTGTAAAGGAATATTACACATGCCCAGTTCGCTTAATCTTTATACAGCACTGTGGGGTGGATGGTGCTGCCCTTATCTAGGGTGGTCTCAGCTCCTTGTTAGCCTAATCTAGAAGTCTCTCAGATGTACCCAGAGGTTTGTCTCCATGATGATACCAGATCCCGTGAGGCTGACAGTTAGGGTTAGCCTTGCAGGGCTCCACATGATGGCGTGCAAGTGGGATCGAGGGTCTGATCTCAGTCTGGACCAATGGAGCCCAGGGCAGGATGGAGAAACAGAGGGCCAAGCTGTGGTCTGTCCTTACGGGCATCGTTTTCAGGCCGTCGAACAGGGCCGATCTGTGCCATCCTGAACTTACTGCTCTGCCCTCCTTTCCTGTTTTATTGTAAGCCAGGGGCTGAGGAAGCGCAAGCTAGCCTTGAACTCTGTGTGTAGCTGAGAATAACTTTGAACTCCTGACCCTTCTGCACTACTTCCTAAGTGCTTCTATCCCAGGAGCGTGTCCCTACGCGTGTCCTCTTCTTTCACATTTCGCTCATCACACGTCCTCTGTCCCCTCAGTACCCCGCGGAGATCAGGAAGTATGAGTACGACCCAAACTTCGCCATCCGTGGGCTCCATTACGACGTCCAGCGGGTGAGTTTTCCTGGTTTTCTGCAGTTTTACGGTGTTGGAAGCAAAAATCTGCTTAATAAAAAAACCCCTAGTGCTTTCCATGGTAGATGGGTCGGAATGCAGTTCTTCGGGGCTGCAGGATGAAATTATTCAAATATACTTGGTAGAACCAATTGGAAGAGGGAGGTGTTAGGAAGGTTTGTGAGTGCGGGTTAATGCTGGTAGGGGGCAGCCAGCTGCCGTATCTTATTCCCTTTAATTTTCTCACTGTCGTTTCCTTCAAACGCACCTCGGTTAATACGCAAGACTCTTAGAAACCATGCATGCAGTGTTTCTCTACCTCTGAGTCCCGACCCCTTTGGGGGTTGACAACCCTTTCCCAGGGGTCGCCTAGGACCACAGGAAAACACAGATATTTACATCACAACTCATAACAGTAGCAAAATTACAGTAACGGAGTAACAACGAAAATAGATTTATGGTTGGCGGCCTCCACAACATGAAGAACTGTTTTAAAGGTTGAGAACCCTCCTAATGCGCGTGTTGGGGAAACGCAGTATCGATAGGATTTATAACGGCCCTTGCTCTGTTCACACGTGTGCACATGTCTGTCTTTAAAGGCAGTGCTGATGAAG